TAACAAATGGAAAATAGGTGTTATCTCAAATTGGCTGTGAAAGTGGAAATACACTTTAAAGGAGGTGATCATAGATATGGTTTTGCAATCTTCTATGTAATGTAAGGTATTTCTTTAGGTTGCTGACCTTTGAAAGTATAGAGCAGCTTATGTTTAATTCTATGTATATGATCTGAAAGCTTAGTGGATTTATACATATCTGTACGCAAAATGTATTTATTTTTTTATTATTTTCTGTACTGCTAAACCTCAATAAAACATACTGTATTTGTAAATAAAAAATCTCAGATCCTCCTCATTTTCCCATTTAGCACTGAAAACGTCCAGTAGACTCATTGATCACAAATAGTCATCTAATTAAGCCATCTAGAGAAGTACAGAAAGTACAAAGAATATTGGAAAAAATTAAACAATCAAATGAAAATGGAGTGTTAGTTCACACCACAAAGTCCGTGTTCCAGTGCGTTTGGCCTCTGGACCGCAAGCCGTCCAGCTCCCTGCATTCATGGGCGGGAGGGGACGTGGCGGTGCATTGAAGTCAATGGCACAGCAACCATGCCCCTCCCGCACTGCGATTGCCCGCACCTGGAATGCAGGCACATTAGTGCCTGCATTCTAGTCCAGTGCGATCTGTAAAAATAATGCAAGCACTATTTTTGCAGATCGCACTGGACAGGGATGCAGGCACTGATATGCCTGCGTACCCAGCGCAGGCAATCACAGTGCGGGCGGGGGGCATGGCTGCGGTGCCATTGACTTCAATGCACCGCCACACCCCCTCCCGCCCCTGAACGCAGGGAGCCAGCCAGCTTGCGTTCCAGATGCCGAACGGACTGGAACGCAGAGTTTGTGGTGTGAACCGGCCCTAAAACTCCATAAAATGTTTGCTTATTTAACAAATAATGGGTAGAGTTTTGAGACCAGATTTGTTTTGAAGCCAACAGTTGCAACACAGCTATCTGTATTGCATGTACTCGGTATTAAAAACAGGGGAAAGAGAAGAAACAACAAGTACAAAAACATGCATTTGCATGCATTCAAAAAATGACTCAGATTATGAAACCAAGCTTTAATACTTTTTTGTCTTTCCTAATCTTTAACAATATTTGCCGACATCCCAACCTGCAAAACCTTATTTCAGGGAGATGCCCTTCTCATTTCAGGGAGGTACCTTCTCTGTTTTTTTTTTTATTTTGACAGCGGCCGTCGGCCACCTTCACAATAAAAAAACATAAAACTAAATAGCAGGGGAATGAATAGCTAGGCTGCTATTGGTCATTTCAAATTGCAATAGCCAATAGCAGGCTTGCTCTTGTACCCACCCACTGCTGCTGTCAATAAGCAGAGGAGCACCTCAGGTCCACCTCTGCTGATTGACAGCAGCAGCATATAATATTAATAATGGGAGCCGCTATCTAAAAGCGGGAGACTCCCGGACTTGGGATGTCTGTATTTGGTCTTGAATATTAGTATGACCCACTGCATATGTGTGTGCCCCCTAATGGACTCCTCAAAACAAACAGGCAGCTCTTGTAGTCAGCAGTCAGACCTTTAACTTAGCAGCATTTTCCTACAGCAGAGAGAAAAAGAGAGAGCCCTGAGCATCAGTCAGCTCTTATACAATGTATATAAAGGTCTGTGCACACCAAAAAACTAAAAACAAGGTTTGACTACAAGGTAAGATGTGGGCCTACAAATGGAGGCTTATTCCCACCCAAAGCCTCTGAGCACCAGGACCCAGAAAAAGATTCATTGGGATTCTGGGAAAATGTATTTCTCACTATCAGTCAAAGCTTAGAGTCTCTTACCATGTGAGGAACATGATGATTTTAGGACAGTAGTAAAGTACCAGAGCCTGGTCACAGCTGCAACCACTGTGCCCCTGGTAGCTCTGCCACTGACACCAAGCTGTAAAGGGACTACAAATCTCAGCAATACATTATACAACAATGCCGAACACTACCAGCTATAGAGGAGTACAAATCCCAGCAATACATTATTCAGCAATGCAAAATACCATCATCAAAGCGGACTACAAATCCCAGCAATACGATGTACAGCAATGCAGAATAATACCATCAGCTTGTCAGGGTACCACCCTGACTTAACTGGTTTGCAGCCTTCTGGCTTGGCTGCCATTTCACCCACCTGTGATTCCTCCTTTATCTGAGCAAACTGTTTAACATTGCTCACTACTCCCAGGCTCCCTCTTATGGCCAAACAGGGAGCATCATCTGAGAGAGCCAGATGGGAGTTTCCTGTCTCTGAGTGATGATGTCACACCACTCACTATTTAAACCACTCAGTCCAGTCTTTCCTGCTAGCGCATTCCTGCTGCTCAGTGTATCCTGATTCCGTGTATGACCCGATCTTGGCTGACATCTCCTCTGGTTCCTGCTCCTGGCTTGTTCCTGACAACGCTGATTTCTGTGTTCCTGCTCCTGGCTTGTTCCTGACAATGCTGATTTCCGTGTTCCTGACCTGGCTTGTAAGAACACCACTCCGGCTCCTGACCTTGGCTTGTTCCTGTTTATGATTTTTGCTTGTTCCTGTGGACACTTTTCTTAATAAAGTATTTTTAACTAGCACCTTATGCTTGTCTGGTAATTAATGTACTCTGACACAGCTATATAGAGGACTACAAATTCCAGCAATAATTTATACAGTAATACATAATAATATTTTGCTACATACTCTGTGCTGCTGCTCTGCTCCAGGGTGCCGGCCTGGTGTCTCGGGCAGAGGGTTTTAGGAGCGGTGCAAAGGGTCTCAGGAGGGTTGCAGAGGGTTTCTCAGGAGGGGTGCAGAGGGTCTAGGAAGCGGTGCAGAGAATCTCAAGAGGGGTGCGGAGAATCTCTGGAAGGGTGTAGAGGGTTTTAAGAAGGGTGCAGAGGGTCTCAGGAGGGGTGCATAGAATCTAAGGAGGGGTGTGGTGGGTCTTAGGAAGGTTGCAGAGCGCCTCAGGAGGGTTGCAGAGGGTCTTAGGGGGGTGTGGAGTGTCTTAGAAGAGATGCAGACCGACTTTACAGAGGGGGTGCCACCAAAATGACTGTCGGTGCCACCCCCTGTAATGGTGTCATCCATCAGTGGGGGGCCGCACCCTCCTCGTGATGTCACTACACACAGCACCTGACCCCTGAGAATCTGTGGAACTACCAGAAGTCATCCCCCGGGACTGTTAGAAGCAGACTTTGCCCATCTCTGGCTTACAATGCAGTCAGAGAAGTAAACAATAGTAATGACAGCTCGTGCTGGCAGCAGCCACACACTTCTGTACAATAGATGGAGCCCCTGTCACCAGTGTCTCCATCAGGGCAGGGTGGGAGAGGACAAAGAGGAACATAGATGGAAATTCGACTGCTATTGAAACTGAGACCCTCCCTCCCACACAGTGTCAGTGCTCTCAAAGCGGGGTCCGAAGGGTATGGCAGGCAGGTGTGAATCTCAGAAGGGCTGCAGTGGTGAGAAGGGATGTGACGGTCAGTGGGGGTGCTGGCACTGTCTCTGCGGGCGCTCGGAGGTATCCACAAAGCCGCTGGTATTGACACTTAGTATCGGGGCATTTTCATGCCCAGTATCAGCACCGACACCGGTAGATACGAATAAAAGTCCTTCAGTTCTAAATGGTTGTTTTTGCCCCCTTATTGGCGTACTGTCCACCCAGACCATGGCACATACCAGGTCTGTGTATGTTTGTGTTGTTGTCTATTTTTGCTTAGTACACAGGATAGAAACATTAGGCAGTGGGCTTTCCGGTCATCAGCAGGTTTGTGCCAGACATGCGCTTTCCGGTCCCAGGTAAGTAGACTCCGATTACAAGTTTAAGACTAACTTGTTAGCCTGTATTTGTGGGAGGAGTCTGGGGCCCTCTTAAGCCGCCCGTTTCAGGCTTTCGGGTACACAGGGATCCGACGGCGCGACCCGCCCTCCCAATCCCTCAGTTGTCTTACTTCATACTCAGGGTATGACCCCTTATTGGTGTACTGTCCCCCCGGACCATGGCACATCCCAGGTCTGTATGTTTGTGTTGTTGTCTATTTTTGTTTAGTACACAGGATAGAAACATTTACCATAGGCAGCAGGCTTTCCGGTCGTCAGCAAGTTTGTGCCATGCATGCACTTTCCAATAACGCGACGCTCGGCGAGGTAAGTAAGAAGAAACTGACTCGAGTATGACGCTGACTCGAGTATAAGCCGAGGGGGGCACTTTTCAGCAAAAAAAATGGGCTGAAAATCTCGGCTTATACTCGAGTATATACGGTATATAGATATAGATATGTATATATAGATATATACATATATATCTATATATACATATCTATATCTATATATATATATATATTAGGTTATCAAAAATTGAAAGCTTTAAATTTCAGAGTTCTTTCAAAACGTCTTTTTCAGAAAAAAAGTAATGGCTTCATAATTTCGACTGAGCCGAAGTTACACCCAAAGTGGGGCGAACAGCAAATGACAGCTGGGCAGAGCCAGCCATGATCTCACAGCTGATTCCGCCCAGGTGTAATGACAATCAGCGTCCCCAAATGACCTGGGGACGCTGATCTGTCATTAAACAATAACAACTGGGCTGAGCCGGCCGGAAGTGGTGCATTATCTGACAGAAATGCCAATATTTTTGGCCATGACTGTATATATGTATAATCGCTGCTGCCAAATCTAGTTGGTAGTATTAGTATAAGCCAATGTTTTTTCTTAGTGGATAGCTTTCTTATGGTGGCAGGGTCCTGTATACAATTGATCTAGTGAGGGTTTGTCAGTCCGTGTCAGTGTTCTCCTGTCCAATTACTAATGTTTGGCCCAAATAAGTACAACATTGGAGGTGTCTACAACTGTACATAAGTAGTGCACAATCATGCAATGCTTAGAACATGCTTATGTAACAATAGGAAAATACTGATTGTATTGCACATGCATGATTTTATTGTCTAATTTTTGTAATTGCACAGGTATAAACTGGCCTAAATTATATATAATCTACTTACCTCAAATTTAACTGATCCTGACTGATCCGCATCGAATGCATTGAAGAGATAATGTGCGTACATACTTGCATCTGTAGAATAACAATGCAATTATTAATTTGGAATTAAAATTAACTCTGAGTTACAGATAACTTCATCAGCACTTAGCATATAATTATAAACAGTTACAAAAGACTGGAATCATTAAACAGTCAGTAAAAGGTTGCCTGTGACATGTATAATGTATGAAATTGTTTTTTGTACTTTCAAAATGATTCATTATTGATATGCAAGTTTTTCTTTCATGTGAGTGCAAACAAAACTGGTAGTATGGAATCTAAAAAAATACCATGCATTTTAAGCAGATAATCCTTGAAAAGTAATGAACAGTATGTATGTTCTGCACTACACTATGTAGAGATTAACTTGCATATACTTTCAGGAATCATATACCACCTCCAACATTGTCTTGTAACCTAGGCACACATGTTTACCACATGTTTACTGATAAATTATTATCCACCAATCATTATCAATAAACATCTTCGCACATATTCAAAGATTTATTTTTTCTGCATATTAAATTCATGTACGAAAGGGGCCACTTAGGGCTAATGCTCCAGAGTTTGTGCCAAGGGTGAGAGAAGAAGAAGAAAACCTGAAAGAAATGCCTTCAAATCCCACAGCCTTAACTTTTAGGAGATAAATGTCACTTTATATGGACCATAGTTAATGTGAAAATGACAGTACAATAATCAACAGTATAGCACAATTTGATACAATAAGCCCCCC